GCAACAGCAATGTGTCATCGTACTCGTACCTGTCTCCCGCAATGAGGCAAGAAAAATATCATGCATCTGAAATATTCTCACCGGTGTTTGGCGGACCATCTGTGAGCTTGGTGTTGAGCAGTTCACAAGGTTTTGTCTGGGACGCCGCTGCTTTCCCTGGCCATAGCCACTCTGTACTCGGCTCGATCAATTCCGCTCTGTACTCTCCACATAGCCGCATCGGCCATGATCCTGACAACATATATCTGACGCCTGAAGATATCGACATATTCCCTTATTGACACACCAGCTACATCTGTCTATAAGTCTGCATCCCATTCTAAGCGCGATGTCTAATTCACATATATCTTGACATACACCCATGTCACACTGAATTGATATATTCATCTATAGTTTTCTCCCGCTATCCTTTTTTGTACAATATAATCAGCGAGCATTTGTTATATCAATCAACTTTTAAAATAGTTTGGCCTGAATAGTCTTTACTATTCCTTCACTGCTCAGAGAAAGCGGCCCCATTTCTACAGTCGAAACGCCATCTCGAATCATGTTCGTTAGATCGTCAACAGAACATCGTAACGTATTCAGCACTGTAGGTCGCCATGTACCTTGTACCAACGTAAGTTGAATCCTTCCAGCGCCAGAATGTCCTAGAATCAATCTAATGTCCGATTTGACGTCCTTATAGGTCTCAATGATTTGGTAGCGTTCCATCTCGCGCGGTCCTAGCTTGATTATCTGTCGTTTTTTCCTTGACTCTTGTTCTCCAGCAGCTCCTCTTTTAAAAATAGTATTCAGTATTTTGGTTCCAGTCTTACCGTTGTCCGCTTCATCTTTCTCTTCATCCATAGTGACGCTTTGCAGGTACAAGTGGAACGCCTCTCTTTGGCTTCTCAGGTACACCGCGCGGTCATCTGTTGCTTTTTTGATCTGCTTAAGCTCTTCTAGTTCTTCCTTGTTTCTCCGTAAAAGCTCTCCTAGATGTCTCAACTCGTCATATACTTCGGTCGCAAGCAGTTCCTGCTCGTGTGTACTCATTCCAGAAATGATAGTCGAAACAGCAGATCCAATACTGGCTATAGAGTCATCAGTTGATGCAGATGCCATATCGATAAGCTTTATCAGGTCAATCGGGTTTTTTCGAGTAACCGTTTGAGTAGGAAACAAACGGAATAGCTGGACTACCATATTCTTTGCTCTCAGGAAAAGTAAGTCGTGTGACTCATCTTTATCTTCTGAATCAGGCAGTGTTTGGTTTATTCCTGCAACATAGGTATCCCAAACAGTGAACAGTTCAAGCGTTGTTATATAATTTTCCTCCTTTGGTCGACGCGGAGGTGGATCTCCTAGGCTTTCTATAAGTTGCCGAAGATGATGATGAACTGAGTCCGACTTCATCTTATCCAAATATTTCGCGACCAGGGCATGGGTTTCGTAAATTTCATTAATTGTTATCTGAATTTCAAGATCTTTCCTTGTGAGAGCTTCAAACTGTTCGCTCGTGAATTCTTCATTAAAGTCTGGCACGTCGCAAACGTCTCGTAGAAACTTGCCCAATCTAGGCTTGTTCTCATTTATAAATGTGGTGAAGACAGCCATGTATTCTTCCTTATGTGACATGCTCTGATTCACGAGCATCTGCATAATCTTTGCAATAAGTGTTAGCTGTTTACGTCCCTTAGGCGTAGGTGGAATCTCAAATATGTCATAGGCTTCCGGGGTGACAATTGCGGGATTGATGAATCGCAGGAAGAAAAATCCGCCAATTAGTGAAGATATTTGCTCCTCAGACGCATTAGAGAATCTCCTACGCGCCAGTATACGTATTTGCTTGCATATCCAGCGTAGGCCAAAAGGGATTTGCTCAACGTGCGAAAGTAAGATTTCAGAGAGTACTTTCACGCCTTCGCATGTAGCATCAGCGCGAGCTTTTATTAGTCTCTCTCTCTCCTCATGTGTGTCAGGTTGCAGTGCATCATTAAATATAGACGATTCATCTTGCATATCCTCGATTATTTTAGTAAGTGGATCACGCAATACTGCTTTGAGATAATTTTTGCCAGGGCCACGACAGGTGTAAGTGGTCATCATTCGGGAGACAGGGGTATTTGATCTCAACAGTGAAGAATACTCTGTGCAAGAATCAAATTGATGTGCAAGGACAATCTGAAACATTTGCAGCAGTAAATGCTCTTCTCTTTTATCGTGTTGATTGCCATATAATGTGAACATGATCAGTTCCAAGAAGAAGTCTCGTTCGGCCGGAGATATCAGCTCACATAGTTCAGCGACATGTTTCGGTTCCATTTGAAGAACATAAAATAAATTACAATAGAGTTCAAAGGCATTACGATCTTGAAGACTTCCCTCAGGAAAAGCGATTCCATCGTCTAGCCTACTCAGAAGCTCATCTTTCTCCGAGCTAGTTAGTTTGTTTTGTATAGCAGACCCGATCCGTGATTCAAGGTACCTAATATCTTTCTCCAAAAAGAAATTACGCTTCGATTCAGCAGAAATAGCAGATTTTAGCGTCCTGATTTCGTTCTGACTAACAGATAATTCATCAGATATGTGGATCTCTGAGTCCGGATAATTTGATGATACTTTTGACTCAAGAGACTTGAAGGATATGCGAGTAGTATCTGAAATTCTACTCGACTGCGTGCTTGGGCCAGCAATCATTAGTCTTCTCAGTTATTTTGAACGCTGGTTAAGGTGCAATGCAATCAAGTCAATGCGTTGAAGCAGTCAGCAATATTCCAACCAGCCCTGAACGTTCACAGAATTACTTCTACCGTTCAACAAACTTTTAACGGTTTTTGCTTCTTATTTATACTGCGTAAATGTATAATAATAATAAATATCAGCGGCCTGCTTTGTATAAACTAATATATTTAATGATCTCGTATGGGCTTGAAGCGAAATAGTGATTATGGGCAATTAGATCGATTAAATGTATACCCTAACCTGATCTAATATGCTATGTAATGATTGCACCAAATGGGTTATTGATATTTGCATTGGCTTGATCTGCAGCATATTTATTCTAATTTACGTGAAGAAACATGTTATTTTTTTGTTTTTGAAATTATTGTTTAGTAGTAGTGCGTGGTGGAGAGTAGAAGCTGCCTAGTCAAGCAAGTCATCGCGACTCGAGCTCCACACTAATGTTGTATTCCACATCTCTACTGTCTTCGTGCACACTGAAGTTCGAGAAATATGTGCCCTTACGTAGCCACTCGTATTAAGTCATAGACTAATTTGAATTGCCTGTACGAGTTCATGTGGAGCATCACGGGCTTTCTGCTTAGAAGAACTAAGGTCACCCGATAGGGTGGCTGGCACAACTGAGCTAAAATCGAACATACCAGATATTTCATCTGGTATAACAGCACTCATGACCTTCTGAGCAACAGTAGAGTCAACATTGCCATTCTGAGTTCCCTTGTCAGTCTTTTTAGCATTGAAGTCAAACATAGACTGCGAAGGCGGCTGTGAAGGATCGGAGGAGATTGCACTTCTGGAAAGAGCGCTAGGTCCTCCAAAATGGAATCCGCTCGACTCAGCACTTTTCGCGGGAGCCAAAGGTCTAGATGGAGATATCTCTATTGACGTCTCTTGCCGTCGGCCAAATACGAATGGACTCGGTTTAGCAGGTTGAGGCTTAGAGGAGCGATCAGAGTTGCCCATTTGAATGTCAGGCTCGGCACTGAAAGATAGCCGTAAGCTAGAACTCTTAGTTGGTCTATACTTTTCTGATACCAACGGCAACTTCAAAGAATCACCACCATCTTTCGAGTTTTCAAACATCTGGTTTAGTGGAGCAGGCGAAGAAGTACCTTTGATTTCAGGGCGAGCTTTAGAGATTATGGATAACAGTGGAACATTTTGTTCCTCTTCCTGAGATTGTTTAGGAGATTCATCTTCTGATTTGGTGGTATGTGTGCTTTTAGGAACTATATCCACTTCAACATAAGGATTCTCATCAGGTTCGATATCCATACCAGAGGAATCAGTTGAGCCTTCTTTGGCGTCTTCTTCGGGCTCAGTGAGCAATGAGATTAGGGTAGTAGCAGTTCGAGATAGCAGTTTTTGCGTGTCTGCTTCCTTCTGTGAGTTGCTGTGATTATCAGCAACTTCTGGTCCCGAAGAGGAGTTACTGGTCATAGCGGAAGAAATAGCAGAACTTTTGAAAGGAGTAGAAAGCGACGGAAACGACGCTTTGGGCGTAACAATTCCAGCACTGAATCGAGTTCTAGGTTTGACAATATCCTTGTATTTTGGATTGTATTTAGGCACGGTTACAGGACTGTTTTCTGATGCTGAAAGAGTAGTTGTAGATGGGTTGGATGCTGCGGGATGTTGCATTGTAGCCGGTGTACGAATGTCGTCAGCAGGATAATCATTAGAAAGGACGCTCGGAGATGTTATTAAGCTCGTTGGTGTATTAGGATTAGCAAGAGGTGTTCCTAAAGTAGGGATTCCAGTCGCTTGTCGAATTAAAGACATTACTCCTTCAGTTTCGATATCTGTTAGGGGTCTATCACCATTTTCCCTAAAAAACTCCGCCAGCTTTTGCGACGGCGAACCTGAAGGGCTTCGCTTAGACGGAGAAGAATAGCTGCTGCTAATTCCATTTTCCTTTATAGGGGTCTGCAGATCCTCAGTTTCCTGGGATCTAGAACCTGAATCGGACATCCATTTAGCAGGCGTTAACAGGGCCTTCACTCTCGATATTAAACCGCCTTGCGATCTTCTCGGAACCGGGGTGCTTTGGCCAGGTTTACCTGAATAAGGTGTAAATCCCGATCCAGGGCCTTGTCTCCGTTGAGAAGGAATTTTTGGCATGTCGAATTGACAAATGTAGATGAAGTTGTCCACCTGCAATAAAGTCCATTAAAATAGGCACAGAATGTGACGTGCTGTAAAGATGTTATTGAATTAGAGTTTACATTTGTATTGGCTATATGTATTACTAGAAACTTATTAAAGTTGAATTAGGGCATGTGGCGCAGTTGGTAGTCGCGCCAGTTTTGCATACTGGAGGTCTCCGGTTCAAACCCGGACTTGTCCAAATTTTTTGGCTATTTCTTTCTTTTATTTTATACGAATAAAGTGTTTAATGTATTAAGATAGTAGTAATATATATTGCACGTGTCATTTTTTTTATAAACGAATTCCTAGACTAGATGCAAATCATGCAGAAAAACTGAATGCTGATCGACACAACGGGCATGAAGAGTTATTAGACGATTTGAACCACTTGTATAAGCAAATAGCATGGAACTTATGCTTGCAAGTAACGCATCGTTTGGTTGGTAAACTGAGGTCTTGCTGTAGAACCATATAGCATATAGCACACTCCTCAACTCCTTCAAAGTGTAAGGATATGTTCCTTTTAAACAATATAAGTGAATCAGAAATTGAGCTGTTTTGCGTATTCACAATCGACTGTGAAGCAAGTATCCACGCCCTCCATTGCTTTTCCTTCACCGCGAGCCTTTTCGATCCAGATATAGTCATCTCTTGTAAAGGGTAGGCACCTGGAATTGTCACCTTGATTTCCATATTCTGCTCGTCAATATTGAACTCAGCCAGAACTTCACGTACAGCTTTCAGCATCTTGACTTTCATAGAAATTTGACCAGCACTGAATTCTGAAGACGCTTGCCTGATTTTAGCATATTCTGCATCAAGTATGCTGTCGGAGAAAAACTTCTCTGTAAAAGTGAGCACGGCATCGCGCAGTTGTCGGTTACTCAATTCTCTCCACCAGTATTTAGCTTCAGACGGACAATAGAGCAAGCATTCATAATACATTCGCATTATGCTTCCTATGAAGCCATCCTGTATGTCTAATTCGTCGACAATGCTATTGACCAGCGGCAAGTCCTTAGTCGAGTTTTGAATGTTCAAGCGAGACACAACATAATCGAGCATACCTGCAATATACCCCGTGCCTTTCAAACTATTCATTAAGTCACTGCGTACCTTGTAGGTCGTTGATTCAAAATGATCAAATATAAGGTGGAAAGCACCTACATATGAAATCTCCTCATGAGAAGGTTCGTTTCCGGATCCTCTAGTTTGCGGTACTTGTGTAACAAAGGAGACAAGTTCAACAGGAAGCTCAGCATTGACGCTTTGGTCCGATTGCAAGGCTGCTTCAATAGCCATAGCTTCCCTATCTCGAACTATTTGGTCATGAAGTAGGACTAGAGCGGCTCTCTGTAGTGGCCAGGAATCTAGTCCCAGAATTGGATATATCATAGCCATATCCAAGTCCACCTTCGGCGCCATTTCAAGAACCAGCTGCGATAATAGCTGATCTCGAATTTCTGTATCAACACTAAACTCTGCAGAAGAAGGGGATTTGTAGAATATATCAAGAATATCAGACGACACGCTTTCATTTATCTCCTCCCAGATATCAGATAAGTCCTTGTGTTGTTTTGCTATTCTCGCTAAGATTCTGTAAATTCTGAAACTGCACCATGCCAACGGAATTAAATCTAGAGATTGCATTTCCGCACAGAGAGTAATACTGTCTGATATGTAGTCTGCAATAGCATGGAACGTCTTCGACGGTATGTAATCCTCTTTGAGCAAGGAACATAAAAGGTAACTTGAAGCAACTCTTGCTTTAATGTCGTCGACATCTAATTCATCAGCTTTAAGGGCATGTTCTATAATCATTAGGTATCTGTTCTGTGCAAACAGTTGCGATGTTTCATTTGTAGAGACAAGGAAAGCAAGGCAAGTGGATGTAAAGATGTACTCCTGTAAGTTATCCGTAGATACACGCAAAAATCGTTCAGCAATCTTGTTCCTGTGCATTTTAATGGATTCAGGGACCAATGATAGTGCAGAAATGATCTTAGCAAGGGAAACAGATCGAAGAAAATTAGTACTAGAAATTTCGTGTGTTTCATAGAACTCAGAGGCCTCGGACTCAGTCCAATTCACCGCTTTAATAGAAATATTAGCAGCGTAAGCCCTATTAAAATAATAGGACGTAGTAGAATTGCTATCTGAATGTTGCAGTAAGTACTCAAGTACGCCTTCCGACACGAGAGGAGTAATCGTGTTCTGGACATAAGTGACAAACTGTAGGATGTTGGTAGTCCATTCTTGATGAGACATAGCAGAGGTGGACAGAGCAGTGACTGCACCTGAGTTCAGAATATCGGATACAAACTCAAGTAGTACTAACAACTGTGAAACAAGTACATCATCCAAAGTGACGTTATTGTCAAAATATGCAAAAGACATCACACTAGTTGTGTACATAGCAATTAGAAGGAGTTTTCCGTCGGTCCACTTAGTTGAATGTTCTTTCGGTTCACATAAATATAATGCCGAGCCCAACGAAGAAGATAGTACAGTTGATGGAGGTACCAAGAAGGTGTCAATATCAGACCATGCACTATCCCAATCTGATGGAGTGAATGAAAGAGCATCAAACTGTTGCTTTGGAGAGATTGAACCGTCCTTAATTGTATCAAGTAAGGAAAAGATGCGGTCCATGCTATTATCAAATGGCTTGAAGCTAAGAATATCGGTTTTTATCTGATTCCCTAGGGATGTCAGTAGTGGTAGATCAATAGGCTTATCCGATCTGTTTAGCTGAGAGGTAACGAAATCGGAAATGGTCTGAATGCTGCGAGATGACGCAGTTTCAGAAGAAATATCCCATATGTAACTAGTAAACGGGCTAGCAGTTTTTGAAATTAGTACTTTTTTGGCTAATAATGGATCTGTTGTGATGACATTATCCATTATATCAGCGAACACCGTATACAAGGCTCCTTCATCCGAACAGCGCGTATATATGCGTAGCAATAAGTTCAGAATTGAGTCTTGATCTAAGAACTTCTTGTCAATCGAAACAAGTGAATTTGCGGCTTCTGAAAGTTTGGATACATCTAATGTATCGACGATATGCAATAATGTCGGGTAGAGATCTAGCTGGTCAATATCCAAAGTAATAGAGCTAAACAGAGACGTTAGTTCAGAAAATGAGGAAAGATATGAGGGATCAGAACGTAATTTAGAGAAAGATTCTTGAACGAGGTTCAAGCGATACTCAGGATCGTGGTCCAAAATGACAATAGATTTCAGTAACTTAAGATCAGGTGTATCTGAGTTCAAAGATTGGTTGGCTTTTTGTCGGAATAGTTCTTTGTGGTCTTCGTATAATTGCTCATTTCCTGAGACAATTGCAATGGCAGTTGTGCTGATTGATCCTTCTGTTATCATACCCATTAATTTATTATCTAAGGGGAATTGCAATTCAGGGTGTTGTTGCGATACAACCGCGAGAAAGAATGCTAGATTATTGAACCTGGACTCATTTTCAATTTCATCAAGTAGCAGTTCAGAAGTTCTTTGAGCAAGATTTGGCTGGCTATTCCAAAAGACATTCAACTCTGCAGCCACGTTTCTAGCTTCTTTAACAGATAGTTTAGAGAGATTTTTCGAGAGTTTTGAAGCGAGAAACTTTGCAAAATTGTTGAGAGAGTCGGGATCGGTATTAGCGACACAAGAGATAATAACGAACAGAAGTTTCCAGGATATTGGCGTTGAAAGGTTATCAAAGTAGAAGTCCTCGGAGATAATTTTAGTATAGTTGTCAGTTGATAAACAGCTTTGAGGCAATTTAGAGATCAGATCAATAATGCAGCGTCTTAAGGGATCGTCTATTCCCGGTATTTTAGAAAGAAAAAGAAATAATCGTGGAGAAAGAGACTTTTTAGGGTTCTCTTCATTTGCATGCCATATATCTGGTGTTTTGTACGAAACCACAGTTAAGAAACGAATGAGGTAAGGGGCGTATGCGGCAGAAGATTCAGAAGAAAGGCATTTTCGAAGCATTTTAATCATGTCGGATGTATGTAAAGATAACAATTCTGTGTAATTTTCGGCGACATAAGTTAGAAAGGGAAGAACCGATCTGAGGATTCCATGATCTATGTAAGAAGAGAGAGCCCAGAACTTGTCAGACTGCAAGCAAGTTTGTAGAGCGGTAGTTGCAATTGGTATAGATTTTGTAGGAAGACAAGATAAAAGATATGTGAGAAGAGACATTGCTTCAGCGGATACAAGGACAAATTTATATAGTGAATCGTCTTTAGAGACAATTCGAGGATCAGATAACGACTCTGGCGATTCGATTGTAAGGACATCAATACAGTAATCAGATATTTCTTGTGCATATGCGAGCCATAACTTTTGAATTTTCTCAGAAGAGAAAGCCTGTTCGAGTGAAGATCTAGCAGATCTAGCTACAGTTTTGTCTGTGTCGTACGATCCAGCGAGCCAATGAGGGATAGTTCTCTTTAAGTAAGGCAATGACTGCTTTTTTGCGCGAGATATGAGTGTACCATTTATTATATGACTTATAGATCTAACTTTCTTGCTTGTATCTATGCAGAGTCTAGTATATAGAGTGCACCAGGCGTCTAAGATGGGGAGCACATCACAAGGTTGAACCAGATGCTTCTGAAGAGTCATAAGGGCTTTCTCTTTAGTAGTTTCATCTTTCTTCATCAGATTCTTCAAAACTACAATTGTTGACGGAGATATTCCATCAAATGACGGCGGTATATAAACATAAGAAAGTCCAAAATCCATTGTTGTAAGATGAATGTATGTCGAAGTATAAAAGAAATGGAAATTTTATATGTGCGTAAATCCCGTTTATACCAGTCACTTAACAACTCACAAATCATGAAGTAAGTGACCATTATAGATCAAACAAAGATTGTACAATTCTAACAATTTAATAGATTTTATATTGATGACCTTCCTATACTATTTCCGTATCCTCGGATATACCCAGGTAAGTATAGTAGCGTGGCGATAATGAGTCTTGCATCCTAACTAACATGAATTAGAACAGTACAAGTACATGGTCGATCTGAAGAAAACACTCGATGGTGACGGCAACTGTATACTGGAAATGCCTTCTGGCACAGGAAAGACGATTACTCTACTATCGCTGACTATTGCGTATCAAATGCACAACGCAGATCATCGCAAGATCGTCTATTGTTCGCGAACTATGAGTGAGAT